AGAAGCAAAAGAATGAAGGGATGACTTTGTATTAGATATTGATCAGTTTTTTATAATAATTTTATTGTATTATTAAAGGTTTTCTAATAAAAATAAAGATATAAATATATATAATTTACGCTCACAAATTTTTCGTTTTTCATAATATATCATCAATAAAATCACAAATATAAATTTTTTCAATTTAAAATCCTTCTTACATCTTTTATTTTTCATGTTATTTTATCTGTTATTTCAATTGCTTTTAAATCATTTTTTTTAATTGTTTTTAAATTCGTTTTTTATTTTTTTTATTTTTCGATTTTTTTACCTTTTTTTCATTTTTTTTCAATATTTTTATTTTACCTCTTTCTTTTTTTTTATTGTTCGATTTTTTTACCTATTTTATTTAATCGCTTTTTATTTCATTTTTTCATTATTTTTTTTGATATTTTTATTTCACCTCTTTCATTTTTTCCTTTTTTTATCGTTCGATTTTTTTTCAATCACTTTTTATTTCGTTTTTTATTTTTTTTTATTTTTTTATTTCACCTCTTTCATTTTTTCCTTTTTTTTATCATTCATTTTTTTTACCTATTTTATTTAATCGCTTTTTATTTCATTTTTTCGTTATTTTTTTCAATTTTTTTATTTTATTTCTTTCGTTTTTTTTTAATCACTTTTTATTTTATTTTTTCATTTTTTCTATTTTTTTCACTTTTTTTACTCATAGCTTTGGTATGACCTGCTGCTTTCGCTATTTCTCATTTGGAATGGATCGTTGACGTTAGACGAGAATTAATTTATTATTAATGTGATTATTATGACGATTTCAAGTTCATTCCAAATAATTGCTATGAAAAGATATAGCAAAACATATCCAATGATTTATTAAATAATAGAGGTTTACCGCTCCTCTCGCCCAATGTAGAAGAAAATGGTATTCGTTGAAATATGGATACGAAAATTTAAAGAGATTGAAAGCTGGAGAAAATCTCCATGACCAATAGTGATACCTGACTAAACTCTTTTTTGAAAAATTGTAATTTCGTCAAAAGTTTCGTCTCTTTAATATTTTTATATGAATAAATATAAAATTATTATATTTTTTAATGTATTTAATTCAAGGAATTTAGATCAAGTTAAATATAATTTCAATAATTAAGTAAAATAATTTTGTCATTAATAAAATCTAGTTTCATCATTTTAGTTTCGTCAATTTCGTCATATTAAGAAAGGTAATTTCGTCAGGTATCACTAACCCTCTATCAGAAATTCCTGTCAATGCTTTAGCCTAAAGAAGAGCAGCGGATAAAATTCAAATAGCTAAAAAAAATATTTACGAATTTGAGCAGATTTACAATATTTCCAGTGATGTTCAGATTCATATTGACATATACCGAAAAATAGAAAGTTTGCAGAATGAGATTAAAGCTAACAAAATAGAATTGACAAGTTAAAAAGAAATGCCAAATATGCTAAAAAATGCAAAAAAAAATTGAATCAACTTATCGAAAACAAAGAAGTTATCTGTTATAATAAACCCAGAAAGCCACTGCTTCTTTTCAAACATCTAGATTTACACAAAAATATATATGATTACGTAAAATTTGGATCGGCTAATATAAAAAGACAGAAGGAGATTATCAAAGTTTAGACAATAGAAAATTTGCATAAAAATCTTAAAGAAAGGTATGAAATTTACATGGCAAGGACTACATTGAAAAGTTACCTTTTACCTTATCAATCAAACTCGATTGCCGCAAAAGCATATCATCATTCAGCATAGGTCATAGTCAATAGAGTTTCATGTACTGAGATGCATGAACATCTTGATAGCCATTATTGCTTCGCATCAGTAAAATATACAAAGCAATTTGCTAGCACTTTGCTGATTTGTCAGTTGTCATCTCCCAAGATGACAAGGTGAAGATCAGACTTGAAATACCTGCAGTAGATCACACATTCTTTATATTACAATTTGTAAATGAACCTATAACCATAGCAGACCATGATTTTCTTATGGGATCTGGGCAAAAACTAGTTCTATCGTGATAAATCCAAAGGAATCTAATGACAAATTATAAAAAGAAAAACTGGCAATTTTTATACGTTTCCAATGGTCTCTTGGTATATCTTCACTTACGCATATGCAAGACTTGAAAAGCCTTACTTTGAATTCTCAATATGATGATATACTGAAAATGAATGGAACCATTTGATCAATATGGATTTTACTGGTGAACAGAAGGCCAAACGAGAATCCCAGGTATTTGAAGAACATAAAATCCTATCATCAACTTTTTAAAAAGTTTGAATTGGATTTTTTAAGTATAAGAATGCATGCTCTCAACCAATCGAAATACAACTTAGTTGAAAGGAGCATGGCAACATTGTCTGGTAAACTCGCAGGTATTACTTTACTAATTGACCATTTTGGTACACATTTAGATTCACAAGGAAAAGTTATAGACCTAGAATTAACCGCTCAGAATTTTCGCTATTTGGGAGAAGCTCTTTGTGAAATTTGGCGTCGTGATTTGATTTTTGGAAAGAAAGTCAATGCTTGTTCTATCAATATACTCACGAATCCATTTGAGCATATACAGTTCGAAAGAACAGAAAAAGAAAAGGTTGAATAATTAAAAGAAGGGAAAAAGAACAAAAAAATCAAACAATATTAATAAAGAAACAACACATACCTATTCTGAATGTTTTGTACTATAGTCCTGGATCAAAAAACATTGTAATTTGTGCAACTATTCCTTGATATCAAATGATGCATGAATGCTAACTTTTGTGGACCACCTAAAGCCAAAGAAGCCATGGATTTTCTTTATCTGTATAATGGCTTTTTACTATCAATTACCAAAGCTAAAGATAGCTGATTCACAAACCCGATTTACCATCTTCAGTATGGAGATTTTCTGAAAATACCAGGTTATGATACCCACTGTGCGTCTATTGAAAAAAATACATACTTACAACTTTGCTGTCCTATTTGTCAAAAATATTTTTTCACTCTCATATTCTTAACAAATCATAAATGATTAATGCATCCTACTGCCTAAGGACAGTCTAAAAGATAGCGAAACTCATCTTTTGATGATCTTTCTTTCCTTCCAACGTAACAAAAGAAGGCATACAATGAAGTGGAAATTGAATCAAGGACTTGTAATTCAGATGGGAAATGAATAAATTTTATTAAATGTATGCATATATATTAAATCATATCTCCAATGTAAGGTTTGACTTTCATTGATGTGGTTCTAATATTTGTTAAGGTTTGCATTAAAATCACCTAGGAGAAAGATTTTAAAATCTGATTTCAGGTTATTCTTAATGTGATTGAGAATTGTTTTATGCAATTTAAGGCGTTCATTTTTTGTTAAAGAGCTGCGATTGACATGTAAATAAATTGATATATATATTATATTGATTTATAATAAAATTTTGTTAAGCCACTTTTATCGAAAGATTATCATGTAAATTATCACATAATAACATGGACTAGAATCACATGATATTATTATTATGTGTAACCTAAGATCTTTGTTATCCCTCCTACCCTCTAAGATATTAGGTAATATCTGACAGCGCCCTTATATTTTAAATTTATATAAAATATAAATTAAAAAATAGAAAATTATATAATTTAATTTAATAATAATATATTAATTATAATTTTAAGTATTTTTATAATAATAGTAAAAAGATGTTTTATTTTTAAGTTTTATTATTATTATAAATAATTTCTATTATAAAAAAAAATCTATATTAAATACTTATATAATTTTATTATATACATTGTGAATAGATTTTATTATTATTATCTCTTAATAATTATATGGGAACGCGGCTAGAAAAAGCCGGGATTCGGACTGATCACGTGATTTGAGATTTTGTAATGTTCATATGTAGAAAATAAGATTTTTAATCCATAATATAGTAAAAAGGGCGTAAAAATTGTTCTTTGGATCATGGCCTTATTTAAATTAAAAAAATGTACAACAAAAGAAAACCTAACGGTTTCAATTATATGCTTGCAAAATTTCGTTCTATGTTATTAAGACCGTTTTTGAATAATTTCGCAATGATCGTCAAAATTGATTGGTTAACTTAAACCTCGATTTTCTCGAAATCACGTGATCGACCGAGCCCCATATATAATAATTCTGATGTGATATCAGAATCTGAATTTAGATCAATTTAAAATAATAAAGATTGTTTTTATTTTTTAAGTGATATTCCTAATTTTCCTTTTTTAAAAAAAATGTCACGTGGCAATTTTTTTTATTTTAAAAAAAAATGTGATCGAAATCAGTATGGCTTGATACCCAATTTCATAGTAAATTTATTTAATATAGGAAAAAATAATTAAATTAGGGAATATTCAATATTCCATTTTTTTTTTTTTTTTTTATTAATATATTAATTATATTATGATAAATAACTTTTTTTATAATTCCCAAAATTAAACTAGTAGTAATAATACAACCTAATATATATATTTATATACTAATTTAATAATAAATGCAGATTATATAATACAACATAAAAAACCATAATGAACTTACATGAAATTTAAGTTAACGTTTAAACTTTATTAACGTTAAGATTATTGTTATCAACTGATGAATTTATCAACTCAACATTAATGGCAGGCTTATCATCATTTGATTCGGGTCGCTTTTCATTCTTTTCATTTTCGAGTTTCTCCTTTTTTCTAATTTGTCTAACGATATCTAAATCATCGGGATACCACCATTGCTTAGTAAACAATACTAAATATCTCGGTAATCCGGCCATAAATATAGCAAGCGTCATGCCAAACCAAAATACACTACCGCTAAATAATTGTTGTCCTATGCCAAATATTGGACTTTCTTCGAATATTCCATATGCAATCACAAATGCAAATACAGCAATTATTTCTACAAATACAAATACCCACATAAACCATGTCCAATAATATGTGTTAAATCCAACAAATAAATTTGCGATTATAACTACTGTAACTGCTACTGCTGTACTAAATTCTATTGTTCCTGCTGATGTTCCGTCAATTGATGTGATGTTTGTTGATAAGGAGTAAATATAATTAAATGTGAAATATACCACCAATGATTGCCATATACCATCAAGGAAATATAATCCAAATAATACTTTTGAATATCTTGCTTGCTTTATTCCCAAGGAATAAATACATGGATATTGTAAACAATATCGTTGCCCAACTGACTGATCTGTTGCTCCTAAAATAATAACCGGTGCCACAGTAAACATCATATTATATAACTGTACAAAACTATAGTCATAAAATATATTGGCCGAGAATCTAAAAGAAAAAAAAAAAAAGATCAAAAATAAATAAATTCAAAACAAAGTCAAAATTTTGTTACAATACTTACAAGCAATATATTTGAAACCATAACACAGGAAATACCCAAATCACATTCTTGTAAAAGAAGTTTAGAATCATCTCTGAAATTCTCAAATAATCCCAATGTCCATGAACAAGCAAAAGTGCCTTAAGAAACCGGAATTGTGCAATGGAGTAATCAGCTGCCATTGCTGCCTGAACACCTGTTTATGAAAATCAGAATTTTTTAACTTAATAAAAATCTTCATTCAAAAAGTTTAATTGAATCTTTTTGAAAATACCTTCTTGTCCGGATATGCCGATGCCAACATTCGCGGCTTGAATCATGCTGACATCATTAGCTCCATCACCAATTGCTAATGTTGTTGACTTTTTCCCTCTTCTAATTAACTCAACTACCATAGCTTTTTGAAGAGGACTCACACGACAACATATTACAGAATGGAAAACATTTGATAATTGAATTAATTGTTGTCGAACCGTATCATCATCTAACAAATGTGCTAATGCTGCGCCATCAACCACAAATGCATGAACTTCTCCTTCTGATACTGGTTGGATTTCCTCTCTATCTTCCGTGAATCTTTTAACATTCTGATCACCTATGAGTGAACCAGCTACATCATTGAACTGTTTCATGACACTTTCTTTTTTGGAACCTCTCACAATCCAGAGTCTCATCTCTTTTGTTAATAATTGCGCAGCAAATCCAATATTAATTGCTGTTTCCAACTTATCACCAGTTAACACCCAAACTTTAATACCAGCCTCACGAAGAGATGCAATACAATCTGGTACACCTTCTTGAAGTTTGTCTTCAATGGCGGTTGCACCCAAAAGAATAAGTTCCTTTTCAATAAGTTCAGAAACAGCATCAATTTTTTCGGAACGATCTGTCAATGAGGATGAGGCTTCGTTATATTTCCTTGACCATGAGTTGTATTGCGCTTCATTTAGGTCTCGATACGATAACGTTAATGTTCGAAGTCCTTAAATTTTAAATATAAATTGATAAATACCAAATATCAACATCATTAACCAAACTTCATTTTTTTAAAAAAAAAAATTTCATACCATCATTTGAAAAATCTTCGATATCCTGATTTGTAACTTCGACAAATTCTTCTTGACCTTTAGCCAATCTTTCCATAATGACATTGTCAGCTCCTTTACAAAATAATACAATACCACCGCCTAATTCGTCCGGACGACGAACAATTACGCTCATCCTCTTACGCGTTGAATTGAATTCTAATATATTTAAAATTTCAAAAGTGTGCTCCTTACCAAGAATATCAATCGTAAGTGTATTTGTTGTTCGTGATAAGAATGCAAATCCAACGTTTTTTGCTGCTGCTACAAGGGCCGCTTCGTCAGGCGATTCTGCTTTGTAAATAATATTTTTAACAACTGTACTATCGATCGGAATGGATTTTATGGTGCCAGCAGGAAGAGGACTTAGAACTGTTTCAAGTTTTTTGAATGACGGCAATACTTGTCTTAGTGAATTTTTAAGTTTTTCTTTGGTAAAATCAAGGCTTGAATTATTCTTTTCTTCCACATTTAAATTTGAATCACTAGTATCTTCAGATGTAGGTTCATTATTTGAAGTTTTTCTTTTATTACTACTACCTGTGCCTTGACTTTCAGCTTCTGAGACCTCAGAAGGGATTTCATCAACTACAACAGTATGACATACTGCTAACAAGGTAAAAAATTCTCTCAACAAATTAGACCTATTGCGCCTACACTCCAAATTCCCACCAGCATTTGATTCTTCTCCAGCGTCATCGCCCGTTTCATCATTTTCACCCCTTAAATCTCTAAAGATTTCAGGGTCGACAAATGTCAAAAAGTATGGATCAGTGCTCGAATACTTTGGCTCAAATGTTTTTTTTAATTCACTTAAATATTGATTAAAAATTTCTTTTTGATCCAAATCTCGTTTCTCCACCACTTCTTGTACTCCTTGAATCAATTCCTTCCCTTTCTCGGCATCTGTTTTACCACCCCAACCATTTCTACCATATACTTTATCAGCAATCGTACATTGACGAAATTCCATGATGTTACGGGTCAACGTGCCGGTTTTATCAGAAAAGATATATTCAATTTGTCCAAGATCATCTGATAAATTCCACTGTTAAATTTGAGATCGAATACAAAATTTTGTTAATATACGAAAATATTGAACGGGGGAGGGGGAAAACGAATAATCACTTGCCGATTTTGGAACAGCAGCGGTCTGGGAATCATCATCCCACATATCGAGGTCATTATAAATAAAATAAGCCTAATTCAAAAATAAAGTAAATAAATCAAACCTATGAAATAAAATTCACATAAATTAAAACATTTACGTACTTGCCATAACTTAACAAACTCAATAGAAATATATAAAGATATTGGAATGATGTTTTGAAATATAATCAAACTCGCCCTGTAAAAATTGTTTATTAAAAAAAAAGGAAACTTGAGTAAATAATAAATAAATATTAATATTATATTCTTAAAAAATAATAAAACTTTTTTTTTTACTTGTAACCTACATAAAGGTAATGAATGCGGCCAAAAAAACACCATCACGATTTGAATCCAGATTAGTAACAGCAACATCAGCGTCACGATTTTTTAATGCCTCTGACGATAACGCACTGCCAATTGCACAAATCAAACCAAGAATGATGAGAACGAAAAAATTAAGGATGACCTAAAAAAAAAAAAAAAAAAAAAAATCATAAAAATCTTGAAGATTCAATCAATTCAATTGGTTAATTAAAATTAAAAAGAAATATTTTACCTCGCGATTCATTTCTTTTTCAATTCTACTACGTTTACTTGGCGTCTCGCTAGAATTAAGCATGATTTTAGTTTCAACACCAGTGAATACAGTTATAGCAATAACCCATTCTGTATTACGTATAACATGAGCTCTCAATAATAAATTATTGATGTCAACCGGAATAGTCTTTCGCTGTTTCCATTTACGTTCTGAGAGAGCGATGCTACTTCTTGGCGAAGGAATAGAAGGTCTTTCAACAGATGTCGACGTATGATCATCATGGTCTTCATTTGGTTCAGTCATGATCAATTTTGCACTATAAGAATATAAATTTGAATTTGGGGCTTCCGAATCAACGTAAAAGGTGGCTTTAACGCAATCGTCGGGGGAACGTATTTTTCTTGTGTCAGGAACACTTCGACGAGGTTTCAAGTTAGTTTCGCCGTCAAGATCTTTTGTTTCCACAAAACAAGTTCCTTCAGACTCAGATGTTGACAAAATAATGGCATCAGCCGGCACAGCATCATTATTCCTAAGGAGCAAAAAGTCACCGACACGAACATTCCTCCACATGACTTTTCTGAATCTAGGAGATCCAAGTTTTTCATTCGAAGGTTCGGATGGAGGCGAATCATCATCATCAATTGAATTTGGATCTTCTATTATGTTCTGTGGGGGGGTTTCATCTGTTGATGAACTTTTAAATAAGGATTTAATTCTAAGAATCATCCTTCTCCCAAACGGTACCTTTTGATATATTGGATAATTAACGTTAACAAAATTTTGAAGATGATAGCATATCGCGCTATTAAATTGTTTGTCAATTTGATGTCTATTTCGATCCTCGATGGCATCTTTAAGTCCAGTAAAGAATACGACAGTTGACAGAGGAAGCAATGTCAAAATTGGATTATTGACACTAATGATTGGTATCATACCAAGTATAGCCATGAACAAGAAATATAAGTTTGCAGCTCTTCGAAATTGTTCAAACAAATTTTTTGGTAAGAAAGTCCACATAGTATACTTCGAAGTGACAATTTTATTGGTAACATATTTAGCCTTTGGTCTGCCCTTTCGGTCAAGGTCATCTTTTGGTAAATCAATATTTGAATAAATTCTACGAACTTTACCAGTTGACATACGATTTTTAATTTTAGTTTTTCTTCTCTTAAGTTGCGTGTTAGCCTGTTTTTGACCAACGTTTTCATTAGGAATATTTGCGTCAGTAGTATAATCGGCGTTATCAGAAATAGATCTCATATTTTCATTAACATTTGATTCATTTTGTTGAATTTTCCCCCCAGGTTTTTCCGAAGAATCTTTTTCAATAATTTTTTCTCCAATTTCATTTGTTGTTTCCGAAGATATAACATTATCATTATCGTTTATAGATTCATCCGTTTTCCTCATTGGCTCACTTTTAGTAACCGATGCCAACTTTGAATCCACGATTTCAGTTATAATAGGTGTGGATACTTTTGTTTCAGTTGTTACTATAGGCGTGGACATAATTATATGTTCAGTTAATACGGGCGTAGTGATGGTGGGTATTGTTTTCTCTACGACCTTACTAGACATTGTCTCGGTAGTTGTAACAGTTTCGGTAATTATTGGCTCACTTTCGGAAACCACACTGGTTGTCTCTACGGTTTCATAAGTCGTAATAGGAGAATTGGTAACGTTTACAGTAGAAGTCGCAGTAGTAACATCGGAAGTCGTATTCTCCTCCATAGGCACACTTTTCGTGTTCGTAGACGTCGTCGTAAAGAGAAAAATGTGACTTTAAAATTGAAAGGAGAAACGAAAATTCTCTTTTTTTTTAAAAATATTATAAAATATTATATTTTTTTAAGAATATGAAAAACTAAAAAAATAGAAAATTCGAATTAAAATAAAATATATATGAAAATCCGTGTGAATACACCATAACAATACGTTTTGGCAAAATAAAGTAGGATTGGATTTAAATATACATAATTAAGAGGGGAAGAAAAAGAACAAAAAAATAATTCATTATTTTTTTTTTAAACCATCAAAAAAAAAAAAAAAAGCTAATTTACCCACAAAATTTAATACGATGCGTAACGTCGATCATTGTTATTTTTGTCTAATTCAACAGGTTGAAAGAAACTTCATTTGTCTATGATATTTATAGAAATATTTAGGGATCATGTTTCTCCCAAAAATGGATCATTGGCATTTTTTATTATGCCGCCGATCAATAATTATTCATTTGACTGTCGTCATTATTTCCCTATTAGTGATAATCATTTCTTTGATATAAGTTCTCGAAATTTTTTTTTTCTGGTTTGATTGAAATATCACTATCGAGATACTTTAATAAAAACGCAATGTGACTTCATTTTCCCGATTTGGTTTTAAATTAATCTTTGGGAAGATCATTGCTCCCACATGAATGGTCAATCCTTTATGGTAAAACGGTATTTACACTCCCCTGAATACATGAATGTTACCAAACATCACATCAATCAATATTATCACATCCCCATCAATCTATCGACGGTAGGGACGGTAGAATTCCTCCTTTTCCCTACTTGAGCATACATTCAAAAAACACTACTACTTTACCAGACATTATTATTTGTTATACGAAATTTAAGTTTTTAATTATTTTTTCTAAAAAAGAATCTGCTAAACAATTTAACAATTTCAATGAAGTGGACTAAATTGGAAATCAAAATCGATTGCGGCAATAAAGTTCTGAAGGATGCATTGAAGGATGAAAAGTCATTATAATGCTTTTGATGCGCATATCACCTCACAATCCTTACAATGAAAATGGATTTCTATAGTCACGCAATATCATCATTACTCCATTATTTTTTTTTTTTTTTGTAATGGTAATGAATTGCCTTCGAAAATAAAACATAATATATCGAAACGCATTTTTTTGATTCCATAACCTCATAGTCAACGTCTATTCAATAAGAAGCTCTGCAGTGTAACATCAGTATTTGTCCAATTTAAGTCGACTAAGTCGGATGTGTTTCCAATATTAATAATAGCATCGATCGACAAAAAAAAATGAAATATTCTTAAAAGAGAAATATGTAGAGTCGCACGTGCCGCCGCACATACACGCACTGCAATCGACTAACTAATACATACAGTTCATACAAATTTAAAATTGATTTTTAAACCCAATTAATTTCGCTTATGATAAACATTCAAAGATTGCATCAAATTCTTTTTTCGTTAAGTACAGTATATTAATTAAACAAAAAATATTTTGAAATGATGCACGTTAATAATGTTTACAAGAGCGATTTCTAAATCCAAATGATTGTGAACAAATTTATAAATTACGAGTTTTAGAAAAGTCTAATCGCTTATCTATAATAGGTAACTTTTGGTAAAATATTGTTTATAATAAATTTTATGAATAACTTTAAAAGAAATATGAACTATGAAATCGACAATTTTCATGGGGAGGGAAGGACCGGTTCCTAAGTTTCAAAAATTAAAATTCTGGATTCTCGCATAAGTTTAATAAATATTTTAATAAATATATAAATATTCAATTAATATATTATCATTAGAAAGTAAAATATAATTAAAAATCTTCTCAAGAACTGGCAAATTTATTGGGACTTTGGGACCGTTTAGGACCGTTTAACATCCTTACTTAATACTTAATCCTCAGCAAATCTCAAACATAAAAAGGATGCACGCAAAAAATTGTCATTTGCACTTGCATAAGTTTTGTATAAAGAAAACTGAAAATGGATTAGGTCTTGAATTCATCAAATATCTTTTTGTTTACATAATGAATTATTAATATTTCATCATGCGCTAATACTATATAACCAATTCTTTATCCTGAATTATTGATATGAAAAAACGAGTTTTTTATTTGTTCTATTCATGGGACATCTCTAATTCGCTCTCCTGCAAATGCAATAAAGATTAAATGATCGGTAAATACTGTGGAGGTGAACTGTTATATAATGTGCTTCGATCCTTTTTTTTTTATTCACATCATTTTACGACTTTTAACATTGGATTATTGTAATGGTAAAGGCAGCGAAGCTATCAAGTTGGAACCTTATCCGTTTGATTGTTGTGGAATTATTGTTTCTGAAAATATCCGCTGGAATGAAAATGAATGTTTTGGGTGCGCTGATCCATACATCTCAGCGTGAGTTTTGCAAATTTATCGGCTAAATATTATTATGATTTATGCTATTTATAATGAATAACGCTTTTCTGTTCACAATATAAAGAGCTCCGTGGATCATCAGACGAAAGTATAGCGGCAATTATATCTTCAGTTGTTGGAGGTGTTTTCGTTATTGGGCTTTAATAGGAGTTTTGTGGTACCAAAAAAATGAAAGAAAAAATAAAAAAAATTCTGACGTAAGGTTAACGAAGTAAATTCAAACAAATAAACAGAAATTTTACCGTATGTGATTTCGCTGCAAAAGATATAAATTTTTACTTTGATTATACGTAGTTTTTACTAATAATTATATTAGTACCATTCTGTATTTTTTTTTTTTCCTTTAAACCACAAATGAAATCTTTTATTAACGACACAACACAAACGAAATATAACTTATTTATGCATATCGGAAAATTCATAAATCTAATCTCTTTCTCTAATCAGTTGAACTGCATCTTGCATTCACGCTTGCAGATAATATTTAAGCATAAAAGATGTAATGCTCATCAAATCAAAACTTTTTACTCTTTATTAATTACTCTGTTAAAAATCCAAATCTTGTAAATAATGACTGATCATAATTTCATTCGATTCGCCTCCTTTTTATCTCGTCTTCTACACACTTAGCGCTTTCTCCTGCAAATGCACTTAAGGTGAAATTCGTATTCTTTATCATCATTTAACGACTTTTATTGTTAGGTCGGAATTAAATGTGTGATTGTAAAACAAAAGGCGGTGGAGCTGTTATGCTGGAATCTTGCCCGTTTAAATGATGTAGACCAACTCGTAAAAAATAGTTTTTGCTGCATAGATATTGAATGTTCTAGGTTTCTTGAGTTGTGTGGCCCTAAATGTGCACTCCTTTGCTTTGAGTTCCATGAGTGACGCATAGTTTTTAATGATATTTATATAGTGTCACCTTTCTGTTTATAATATATAGATGCTCCGGAGGGGATTATAACGGCCAATTACATCTTCAGTAGTTGGTGGCATTTTTTTTATTTCAAAAGCATTATTAATAGGTTAATTTTTTTTTTTAAAAAAAAGAAATTGTCATCTTTAATAAATAAACATTTGAATTATACAATTTCATTAAAAAAAATAAAAACTTATTTGATATGCGAATACAAAATATTTTAATCTGATAAAAAAACAATTTGATTTCCCATCTTTATTATAATTTTGTAATAATATTTTCTTTTCGAATTATTTTTTCACGCGATATTATATAAATTTGAATTAATTATTGATTTAAGAAACTTAAAATCTTCATATTCCCAGTAAGAATTGAATTATTATTTCATCATAATATTGCCTCGGTTATAAACGATGTGTAATATGATAATTTGTCAAGTATAGAAGGGAATCAGTGACATTAAAGCCATTAATAACATCTGCGATACAACAAATATTCAACGGCGACAATCCAAAATGGGAATCAACATTATCTAGTTTTAATTATTCTGTTTCGTTTATCTATATGTAATGCTGACTTGAAAATGCATAAATAAATAAATATATATTGTATATATATTAAAATGTAATTGTCAATAGAAATTTCCCTCTCCTTTATATAGATAAATAGATTTGAACCAGGTTTTTCAAGTCGAATTCAAAGGCCTTTGCTATTACATAACTTTCCCAGAGAGCAAGTTACTAACTCTTCAAATAAATATTACCCAGTCATACAATATACAAAAGACCATATGTGAACTTTCAAAGTTCATAATCTTGTCCTTTAAGTTATTTATATAGGTTTTCGTAATAAAAATTCAATTAGATATATCTATTTCTTAATTTAAATTCCTTTATTTTATCATATATCGTCACATATAATAACTTAAATGGGACATTATCTTGATTTTTAAGTTTGGTTAGAAAACAATTTTTTTTCATAAAAACTGCTTTGTTGGTTACTAAGCATTTATTTTATAAACCATTTAATATCTTTAGCATATCGAAATTCATGTCTCGCAACTATTACCATAATAATCGTGAATTACATTTTAAGAGCTTTATATAGGATTTCTTTACATTAGATGCTATAATTTATAATTACTTAAAAATTCGCACGGCTTTGATTGTAATCACAATTGAAATATATAAAAAAGTTTGGATTCACTTCCAGTCTCGTTTAAGCTTTTATTGCTCAAAATTATTTACATAACAAAAAGTATGATTAGCCGTTGAATGAAATATATATATATATATATGTTCGATGACATATCAAAGGTAATTATTTTAATTCTATTTTTGTGTTTTATTAATAATAATTTATTATGTATTTTTTTATATTTGACTTATTTTGATAGTAGTCATCTCTTACATTTTATCACGTATTACTTTTATTTTATTAAAAAGTTTTATAACTTTTTTTTTTTTTTTAGACAACTCCTTTTACGAATAATAAATCATACTCATGAAAGATATCAAAGATATTATTTATATTGAATAAACCAAAATTATTTAAACTTAAAATTTACATAGGAAGAAAAATTCTCTACAACCACAAGGAAAATTTCAAATTTCTACCTTGAAACAAAAATCTAAATGTATTTTTTCTGTAAAAAAAATAAATCATTTTACTGATTTACAAACAATTATCATAAAATAGTTGGGCATATTGGCCATGAAAATTCATTCAAGGAAAAAAGACCTAGCTCTCCTTGATATCTTTGCTCTCCTATACATTTCATCATAATCTACTACTAGTTTTCTAAAAGTAATTATGTATAATGTAAGTTTCACAAGTCACCGATCAAAGATTATTATAAACTTTAAAAAAATTGGCTTACCGAGAAAGGTTTAAAGGTTTCTGTCTTTTTTGTAAAATTTCAAATGATTTCGGTTGAATTGAATTGTCAATGTTGTATCCCAAAATATCATCGTACATTTCTTTTGGTAAAACTTTTTTAAATGGTTTAACATTATACCAAAAATCTTTTCCAGTAATTTGAAACCATCTAATATGTGGAATAAAATCTTGTAGTATTTCCCTCAATAATGAAAAATCCTCTGATTTCCACTTTTTCACTTTATTGATATCAAGTTTTGTTTTAAAGATGGCGTATTCTAGCAAATGTTTCCAAATATTAACTTCTTCCATAATTAGATCATCCCTTTTTATAAGTTGAACGATAATGGATTTATCAAAATTATTATTAAATTTTATGGAAGTTATTAACTTCTCAGGATTTTCACAAGTGATTCGAAGAAATGTTTCCCGAAAGTCGGAAAAATAATCATATCGAAATATGATTTGTAAAATATTCACGGGGTCCTCATCGATGAGCCTGCGCGGATCTTGTAAGACACATTCGAGAATATGTTCATTAAGGATGTCAATGCTTAATTCATCGGATGCTTTAATTAGGCTACAAATATCCGCAACCTTTTGTTGTTTCAAATTCAACTCTGCTTTGTATATAAAACTTTTTTTTTTAAAAAAAAAAAAAAAGAAGAGCGAACGTTCATTATCATTTTTAATATTTTCCTTTGAAAAAAAAGTTTTTGAAAATATTAAACTTACTTTAATATCATTTCAAATATTTTTGGTGAGATGTTCGGCTTCTTATAGTGAATTTTGTCATCAACTTTATGAACCCATGGTTTGGACAAAGCTGTTTGAAAATATGGAGAGACGGCAAATAAAATGAACGAGTGAGCACGAAAACTTTTAATATTTGGCTCTTTTCCAACTTCTATGAGCGTATCGGTTCCTAGACCACTATCCAATAATTCACCAAATCTGGAGTAAATCTTTCGGGTAATCCTCTCTTTCTGTTCTTCTTCATACATCATTCATGTATTGATGCTAAACCGATTAAAGATTTTTAATTTTTTTTTTTTAAGTAAAATAATTTTGTACAAGCATTTTATTTTAAGATTAGGAGTTCGGACCAGTTCCACAAATAATTAAATGGAGAGAAATTTCTGGGCTGAAATCCAAAAAAAAATCTCATTTTATATTTTATGTATGTTAAAGAGGCTAGTACGAATTACGTTACACGATGTTTTTGTAATCTCCGATGATCTGCAAACCTATTAAGATTCCTCGATTTAGTTATTAATTTTACGCGGAAGTTCATACATGATACACCAATCGCTGATTAACTTACTATATTAAAATTAGATCTTTATATTAGGTACAAAAGTTAATTACATTATTTTATGTTAATAATCTGAAATTGTTTTTTTGATCAAAGTCATCCGAAATTTAGTTAGAAATCCCAAATGGGTTGTGTGAAATTTAATATTAACCAAATTTGTCCAATTTTCAATGGTTATTAAAGTCATCCTTGAAGACGGAATATGGAATTTTAATTCCCATTATGTAATATAACGTTTGATGGTATTAGAATTTAGGTTTATTAAAATAATACATCTTAAAATATTACCTGTGTTCCAATTAAGAAGGACGCGGATTATATCAAAGATTTTGTATATTGTCAAATTAAAAAAAAAAACAACGCGAGGGTTCCAATAGATTATTTGTAACAGAAAAAATGATATTAAGTCAAAAAATAGTTCAAATATAATACTTCCTAAGTTGACACCTTTATTATTATTAAGATAAACACATCCATTATGGTTTAATGAATTACAAATCGTGAAACAATTTGATTTTGGGATTTAGATATACAGGTATTTAACAAGCTCATCTTTATTGATGACATTTCTCATTTCTGGTGACAGACCTATTTTTTTTTTGACGTTGAAGAATGATCGGTCGTTTCATTCATATTTGATTATTTTTCAAATGTATTGTGATGATATTGTAGATATAAATATTTTGTATAAATAGGCTTCGTTTCATTTTAAATAGAGGAGATGGATTATTTCTTAAGGCGCGCCTTGTATTTGGTTTCTTTATTAAAAAATAAAATCTTATTCCTCAATTCCTTAATATCGATTGTTATAAATTGATCGAACTTGGCCTTCATTATAAAATAATCTTAATTACATTAAAGAATATTAAATATTTTTTTATCGCAAAGTATAAAATGGGGCAAGTTTTGTTTAATTAAAAACTTTCCAAACAAATAAACATAATTTTATCAAGAAAATCTTAGAATAAAAAATGGAAAATGGAATAGGTGTCTGGATAACTTTTCGAATTTATCAAAAAAAAAAAAAAAAATCGGGATGATGACAGTATGTATTATCTGGACTTGATACAGTCTCCGAATCTTCATTTATAAACTTTTGTAACAGAATTTTATTTAAATCTATCCCTATAGCCGTTTTGAATTCAGCAATAAAGTCAATCGTAATTGAATTTTTTTTTACAAATTCATATAACAATGATACTTGGTGCCAGTAGTATAAATAATGAATTGTAAATGGGTCAAGATCATGATGTGCTAAACACACTCGAAATATTAAGCGTCTAAAAAAAAAGTGATCATTAATTTATCATATGGGAACGTTTCCAGTAAAATCAAGTCATGAGGCATAGTAAATCATATGATCCATAATGTGATTTTACTTGGAGATAGTTTCGACAATTTCTTGCAGACTAAGTTAATTTTTTTTGTCTTTAGTACGGTACCATTATATTTATGAATACACGTTATTTCTTTAACCGAGAATTAACTAAAAAAAAATAATGATTAATGAAATGAGATCTTTAAACTTATTTATTTTTTGCTAAAATTTGTGTAAGAATAATAAACAAGAAATTTCTACATTGACAAGGATATCGAAGCTTTTGAAATAATTTATTTAAACAAATAAATGGATGTGTAGGAGAGATTAAAAATGTTACAAAATAATCTAACGTAATTTTATTTGAATTTTTTTTTTTTTTTTAAAAAAAAAAAAATATCAAACCATTAAAATGACAATCTTAAACTAATAATCTATGAAACGAAATATATTTTCATCATATATCACACGCGTCACGAATTGTTATTGGTTGATCGTGATCTGATCAATAACGCGTCCAAAAATACATATAAATACTCCACACTTACTTCCACACTCCAATTTTTGATTTCCAATACTCTTCAATCCGACAAAAACCTTTTTTTGTTTTTATGTTGCGTTTTATAAATTTTGGTTATCATTATTGTTTGCCAAAACGTTCACCGAACTAAGGAGAAATTTTGAAAGATGAACTTGATTTAGATTTAGGTATTATTTATAATCTACCTTTTTCTTTAATATTTTATTTTGACGCGCTTTGATTTTTCAGTTTATTAAAAACAATTAACATCTTAAATATCAAACTTTTTTTCTTTTTACAAGTCGTTTATAGTTTAAGTTCCTGGGAAATACGATCACATGTTTGAATTTTGTTCTTGGTTCGACCTGAAGAGGTGCAAAAACTGCTATTTCTACTGTCACAAATTCGTATTACCGATGAACGAGTCAAACGATGAAGCAAAAGAAAACCGGATTCTAATTTTTGGTAATTATTTATACATACTGCGTATACCCCTCTGAATTTTGCGGCAAAGGTGTTCCAGAAAGGGTGACGACCCCGGAAAATGCATAAGTCTCAAGGTGTCTTCTACAAAATACATAAGGTTGAACCTGTGTGCCTAGAGCAGTCCCTTATTGGGTGGACAAAGATAGCGGGAATTCAGAGGGTTTTTATTTAATTACTTTGTATACCCTGTATTTTGCGGCAAAGGTGTTCCAAAAGGGGTGGTTTACTACCCCAGAAAATACATAAATCTCGAGGCGTCAATTGACAGATTAAAAATAAAGAAAAAAAAATAAAAATAAAAATAAAAATAAAAATACTAAAATTAATAATAAATGTCAATTGAAGGCGGTGAGTGTCCCTTAATTGGGTGGACAAAGATAGCGGGAATATAGGGGTTCTATTGCAGGGGCCCATGTGATTTATATTAACCAAATTTTTACCTTCATAATTTCGTAGTGGTTAATAATGGACTCGTTCGAATAGCCTTTTGGGTTGATTAATATAACCGATAACAAAATATTTATTTTTTCAACTTGTTGAAATCCAAGGATTATATTACAAAAAATATTTCAAAAAAACCGCCGCCATCTAGAACAGTTGTATTTATCGATAAAGTTTTGATGTTCACTAAATAAATTAAAAATATTTCTTTTTTAAAGAAAGTCAAAATTTACTATTTTTATGGGAAAATGTAAATAATGTAATTAGTGTTTAATACTTCCTTTTTCGTTACAGAGAGAATTGACGCGCTTTTCTTTTGTAATACGTGTGCATAAATACTGGTGATATTTATGTTTAATTATCTGAAATTTTCTTCTTTAATATGCAAGATGTTTAAAACAAAATTCTTGGATATTGACTTATATGCTTACTGAAAAAATATATGGTTTTTCAAATCAATGAGGACACATGGGATTTAAATTAGGACACTGTGAAAATTGTCTGTTAGTAAGGATTTTCAATTAGCATATACTTTTTCGAAATTTCTTGATACTGTATAATAAATATGGAATTGTAGAACCTTAACTTGAACGATGATTTGCAAAAATTCTTGACTAACGTTAAAGTTTATCCTGTATTGAGTAAAAACATCAATATTTCGCATATTTGATAACTTGCAAATTCAATATCATAGTTAGTATAAACCAGGTTTGTTGTTTTAACGATATGAATAGTAAAAATCAGAATATTGATTTGCCGTATTTATCTGAAATTTAAAATGTACAATGTCTGAACATAATCAAATCGAGAAATTTGGTAATGGGTACCAAGATTTTATATAGTCTCATTTACAGATATTTGGTGAATTTTATATTATAAACGGTGAAAAAATTCTTCTTAATTTCCATAGCTGATTTATGAGGAAACATCGTGTGATTGATTGATGGAATTTTTTTTTCCTAGTGGACAAGAGCAAGTAAACCAACGGAAATTAGTAATTTTATTGATTCATTTGGATGTTCGAAATGAGATGTCTCGAAAAAAACGAGAAATCCTACTGTGAACGATGTGTTGGGGAAGCAGATATATTAATTAAATCAAAAATATGTATATTATCATATGAATCTATTATTGATCGATTTTCTTATTAAAATTGATCTTTTATTTTTTTTCCTAATTCTGCAAAAAAATATCCCCCTCTTTCGTGTAATAGTTTTTTTAAAAAAATAAATTCCATATTAACATTAACAAAATAACACTTTTATGCACAACATCTATAGAACAATAAAAATTTTTTCTTTGGATTTTTTTCAAAAACGAGGTATTACATTTAATAAAGCTAATAGGTATTTATTTATGCTTATGGCACTACTTAAATGTTAATAATGCGAGTTATTAAATTTTAAAGATTTCGGATATTTTGTTAAAAATGAGAAATTCTGTTATAAAATCATGCTAATTGTTTTTTTAAAAAAAAATTGTTGTATAAAACGATCTGAAAACCCGGTTTATACACTACGACATTATTAACATTATTGCCAAATATTCCGACAACATCAATTCACGGGAATTAAAAAATATTAGTAATAGCCTACATATAGGTTTGATTTAATTATTTAATTAGCATATCTGCCACCTAACGATACGTCTACACCCATTTATATCATAGTTTTTTTGAATATCTTATAATCAGATGTCTTACAAATATAATTATACTGTAAATTAATTCTGGAAGATACATTAATCGTATGGAATATGGAATGGAGAAATAACTTTATTTCAAGAGAATATGAATCAAATCGAAGCATAAATTTATTGTATCGAGCATTAAAATAAAATGGTAAATTTGTAAGCATACTATTCAAATTATAATCATTATTATTTTTTTTTAAAAAAAAAAAAGAAAAGCATTTAACAGAAAATATAGGATAAATGATTAGACGTCGAACATTTTAACTCAACATAAAGTGGGCAATGGTCAAGAAATAATTGATCGATTATCAGAACCATATCAAAACTTATTCTGCCGATTCAATCGTGAATTAGACAATGGTAAATTAAGTTCATCAAAATAGCAAAAAACTGTCGAATAATGGCTAAAGGAACTACGAATATTGATGAAAAGGAATAGGGTAATTATCAAAAGAAGGAACAAGTTAAAAAAGTGGTTAATTTACTTACGTATTGTCTTCGATGATGATGACATGAATTATATTTCCCTTTACAAAAAAATTATATTATTGATTTATTTAGTAAAGGAAAAAATTTAGGTGAAAGCGAGAAGAATAGTTGTCCTTCAATAAACTTTTCAAGATTGATAGATTTTTCGTTTAATTAATTTTACTATATTATTTTTCCACACTTTCAAATCTCATATATTTATTTTGGAAATCAATGAATTTAAACCTCTAAACCATAAATTATCTTAGGAGGGTGGGCAATTAAAGCCTACCAATAAAATAAAACATTTAACTTTCCCGTAATCTGTAATATTCATTAGATTAAGTTCATTTTCCTCTACAAAATAAAATTTCAAATTTATACTCGTTGTTTTAATACCAATATTATGTTATCTTGATGAAAGAAATCGGTATTAAATCATCTCGTCGTAATTAAAATTTGATAAATCAAATATATTTCAATACCATATATTATTAAATTCAATAATTCAATATATTGGACCTTTGCAATAGAAAGTGGGAAACTGCCAGTAAAAATAAAATTATTTTAATATACAAAATGTGATTTTTAGTCTGAGATACGTTTTAGAATTAACTCACTTTACTTTCCTGACAGTTTCCCTTTTCTATTGAAAAGGTCCCATAAATTGTGTAATGCTATTTAATTTTTTTTGACAAAAATTGCATAAATATGTATATATGAAGGAATAAACTTTCAGGAAAAAATACGTCCTCCTAAATTATGTTTACCTACGGTGTATTATAAATTAACGGGCATCATTATCGCGATAATTGAATAAAATACCAAAAAAATATTTGAAACAAAATATTTTACCAAGTGGAATTGACAGGAGAGTTAACATGTATTTATTTTGTATTTACCAAATTATGAAAAACCAGGAAATACTCTCCGTCCTCTTAATCAACTAATAGGAACATGAAAAATCGATGAAGCTGTAATTAACCAAACAAATCCCGAAATTATGCTACATACTTTAGGCGTTTGATCAAAAAAGACTACATAGGAAAAATTCAAAAAAAATTATGGTACACCTTTGTATTACGGCAAACTATTTTATTTTCTTAGAAAAATCCGTAATATTTGATTTCTTTTAAGAAAATAGATTCAAGTCCAATTGTTGATGATATTTGTGATAAATGCATGATAACGTTTATTCATCATTATGATAGATTATGGTGATTTCAAAATTGTCATCTTAACGATATCCTTATATTCGTGAACTTTAACGCTTGAAAAATTTTGTATATTAGCGTTAGTTGACATGCTTTATTTTATTTTCATTAATTATAAATAATTGATTACACAAGTTTGAGTGAATGCGTAAATAATGGCAAAGTATATATATAAAAAAAATGTTTATTTCGCTATATAAACAAATTTCACATTATTTACAAATTTATGAAGTTTAGATTAAATAATGTTTATTTGATCAATTCCAAATTGATTTATTTATGTAAAAAGAAAGCTTTACATATACTCTATAATCAATGTTGAACAAATTGAATAAAACAAAATAAACCTTAAATACAAATTTATAATAAAATAATTTAAATAATTAAATCCTAAATTCTGTGTAATTTACGGTCGATCATACCCGAATTCTGAATGTATGGGTTTTCACTAAGTTTCATTAGATTATTTCCAACAGCAATTTCAATAAGCTTGTTATTATAGTGACATTCTTTTGTGAGACTTGCAAAGTTTTCGTTAAAATTTTTAATATCTTTAAAAGTCACTTTAAGACTATGATTTATCTTAGGGTAGAACCGCAATAACTCTGGTCCTGTATGTGGAAGGAATCTGCGCCAACCATAAGTAAGCTCACAGCATAATATTTGTGTAAAAGTAACTTGAAATTCACTCATATCTTTAAAGATAACCCACTCTCCAGAATGGGTTTCATCTGGAATATAACATTTTCTTGAATTAATATTTTTGTCAAAATCATTATCAGCATATTCATATGTCCAACAATCTCCATCAACAGGACCTTCATAAATTAAGTTCCACTTATTTAATGAGAACTTAGTATTATGAATACTTTTTACACCAAAACCTGCGCCTCCAGATTGCGCATTAATATTTTTTTCGTGACTTTTTGACACTTCAAAAGCTTGATTTGGCTGCTTTGGATGTGAACCTTCTTTTAACATAAATGTATTATCAGGTACTGAAGAAACATGAACTTTAAGCGAATGAAGAACATAACCAGATCCTAGCTTTTTAAGTCCTTTCCATTGATTGCTAAGCATATTCCCCACTCCACAACCAAGTACCTCAATTTTATAGTGTAAGCTATTTTCATTTTTAAAAGGTGCAGTTTTTGCCCAGAAATTAGCAGAAATGTTAAATTTCTGATGGATATTTTGATTTTTTTGATCTAAGACTTTAACACCTGCAGTAGAGGAAATACGGATCTTATTATCTATACTGCTCTCTTCATTACCATCACCACCACCACCACCATCACCACCATCACCACCATTAACATCATTATCATCATCATTACTGCCATTACCATCACCATTACTATCGCCATCACCAAAATTATCATTACTGTCATTACTACCTTCACTATTATTATTAGCGATATTATTATCATTATTATCACTATTATTATTA